GTGACCTATCAAGAGTACTGGAGAAATATTCTGTCAGTCTAGAGACTAGGGTGCACCTGATACAGGCCACAGTTTTTTTCAATTACTTGCTGTACATCTGAGAGCTAGGCAATGACCAAGAATGACAGAAAAAAGAATTGATGCGTTTGAGTTGTGCTGTGGGTGAAGAGTCTCCTGGAGGGGGTAAAACCAGGTTGTTCCTTGGACCAGGTTGCTCTTTGGAGGTAAGGATTTTGAAGCTCCATCTGATATATTTTGACATGTTACCAGGAAGAACCAGTCCTTGGAGAAGGACATTCATGCTTGGAAGAGTGGAAGTGGAACGTCAGCACTGGAGAAGTCGCTAGATGAGACAGATTGACACAATAACTGGAGGGATGGGGGTAGATGTGTTGGAGAAGAGATTGGCACAGGATGGGACAGAGCTCAGGGTCACTATGAGTTAAATTCATATCAATGGCACTTAAAGACAGAACAACAACACATACAATGAAACAATGATGAGTCCTTGCAATATAATGCAGATGAACCTAGACTACATTAAAACCAAGTGATATAAGTCCATAACAAAAGGCCAAATACTATACAAAAAGGATAAATATATAGAGAGATCAAGGACTGTAGTCTTCAATACAGATTGAAGCTCAACATCAAGAAGACAAAGATTCTCATCACTGGGCCAAATGGCAGCACCATAATAAATGGAGAAGAGATAGAGGTTGTTAAAAATTACAGTTTGCCTGGTTCCACAATCAACACTCTTAACACCAGCCATCAGGAAATTAAAAAAAAATCCTAATTGAATTGGGAAAATCTGCTGTCAAGGATCTCTCCATTGTGTTGAAAAGCAACAATGTCAGTCTAGAGACTAAGGTGTGCCTAATCCAGGCCATGGTCTTTGCCATTACTTGTTATGCTTCAGAGAGTTGGACAATGACTAAGGATGACAGAAGAATAATCAATGCCTATAAGTTTGGTGCTGGAGGAGAGTTTTAAACGTACTATGGACTGCCAAGAAAACAAATAAGGCTGTCTTAGAGAAGGTGAGAAAAAGTTTCTCCTTGGAGGCTAGGATTCTGAAGCTGTTTCACATACTTTGGGCACGTGGCCATGAGAGAGATTGGTCCTTAGAGAAGGACTTTATGTTTGGAAGGGTGGAGGGACAGCACAGGAGAGAAAGAACCCAGAGGAGAGGGATTAATACAGTGATGGGGACCATGGGGGTTGCTGTGTCAGAATCAGTGAGACTGGCTCAGGACAGGACAGGGTTCAGAGCTGTTGTACATAGTGTCGCTAAGGGTCACAGATGGCTCAGCAGCACGTAACAACAACAACATGTATAACGTGATACTGGTGAAGAGTGGGAGGAGAGTCTTTTAAAAGAATCATTTAGTATTTTTGGTGATAAGAAAATGTAACACTGAATGCACATGAAGTATGCACAGTTTGATCAATAGAAGTGATAGCACTAAGATATACATAAGTGGAAAGGTTCTCTTGGTAATTGGTAGGCCATATAAAAGTTTGCAACAACAACTAAAAATACACAATTTTACAACTGCATTTATAGATGCACATATGTTTATAGGAATATATATGTAATGTGAATAAGCATGTGTGTGTATAGTTTTCTCTATGTATCTATGTGTATAATAAAAAATGATGCATACACACTGTCAATTCCAACTGAAAGACTCTATCCAGTTCCCAAAGTCACATACGGATTCAAACTGTTAACTGACTGGTTAAAAATCAACATATATATACTCATGTACATGATTTCATATATATGTTTATTCATGCGTGTGTGTGTGGCGTATTTGCGAAAGTTCATAGGAGGTACAGATACAGAGACTTCTTAGACAACTATATACTTCATGAGGATTGTTTTTTTTCCCTGGATTTGAAGTCATAAGACTATAATCTCTTTGAAATACTTGGTCAACTGGAAAATACAATTCATAAAATTTATATTCTACATCCTTGCATGTTGTGCAGTGTTTGGTCCTTCAGTTCTTGTGTCTATCAAAGATAAATTTATCACTTTCTACTTGTCTAAATTACAACATCAAACCAAAAAAAAAAGAGACTAATTTATAGGACTACTGGTCTACTGGAACCACAGACTTTTCTATACTGAGACCAGAATTAAGAATGCCAGGACACCAGAACCTACCAATTTTATGAAAGTCACAATAGAAGAATCCTGTAGAATGGGATAAACATGTAGAATAGAACATCAAATTCTATTTTAAAATCTAGATTTACTAGATTTCTTAACATTAGAGGGCTTTCAGAGATAATTTTCCAGAAATACTTCTTAAACCATAAACCAAAACTAGCCTTTGAGGTTATCTTTAAGATAAACAAATGATTGGCTCACGAAATTAGACTATCTATCATCCATTAAGTACTGTAACCAAAACTAATCCCACTACTGTGCAGTCCATTCTGACTCATTTTGATCTCTATCAGGATTCTGAGGCAGTAAATCTTGGGAGGAGGCTACTCAGCTGCTCATCTTTTTCCAATAAAGTTACAAAATAAGTAAGTAAGCAAACCCACAGACCCTATTGCAGTTAAGTTTTCACATTAGGCGAAAGTCAGTGATTTATAAATTTATAAATTATGAATCCTATTATATGTTATAATGAGGGGGGGAAATACTGTGCTGGTCTCCACAGTTATGATTCATTCTTTTCAGATCCTGCTCTTATTCTTATTTACCTGCAGGAATCAACTTTATATACATTTTTCACATTTAATAACATAAAAGTCATATTTATTAGTTCAAAAGTGATTTGTTTTCTTATATAAATCCTGCTACACTATCTTATCAAGTATTGAGCTGCAATGCTTAAGGTTACCGAAGGCAAAATATTTAATGACATAGGAAGCATCAAAAGAAGATGGAAGAAGTACTCAGAGTCACTATACCAAAAAGAAATGATTAACATAGAAGAGTTTCATGAAACAGTCTATGATCAAGAGGCAATGGTGATAAAGGAGGAAGTTCAAGCTTCGCTGAAGGAATTGGCAAAACAAACAAGGGTCCAGGAATTGGTAGAACACTAACTGACATATTTCAACAGATATTGCCCTGGATACACTCACCAGGTTATGCCAAGAAATTTGGAGAACAATTACATGGTCAACTGACTAGAAGAGACCTATATTCATTACAATTAAAAAAAAAATAAACAAACAAAACCCATGATGCAACAAAGTGTGGAAATTATTGAACAATATAATATCACCAATTTCACATTCAAGTAAAATCCTGCTGAAGATTATTCAAAAACAACTGGAACAGTACATCAACAGAGACCTGTCAGATGTGCAAGCTGGGTTTAGAAGGAGCCAAGGCAATAGGGACATCACAGCAAATGTTAATTGGATCTTGGCCAAAAAAGAGTGCCAGAGGAATGTATGTGTTTCATTGACTATGCAAAGGTATTTGACTCTATGGATCACAACAAATTGTGGCTAACGTTGAGAGAACTAAGAATCCCAGAACACTTAATTGTGCTCACTTGAACCAGGAAGCAGCAATCAGAATAGAGCAGGGAAACACTGCATGGTTCAGGATCAGAATAGGTGTGCAATAGGAAGGCTACCTATCTCCATATCTTTTCAATCCAAATTCAGAACAGTTCATTCAAGAGTCTATTGGCATCAGGATTGGAGGAAGACTCATCAACAACCTGAATTCTGCAAATGACATAACCATGAGGTTATGCTTGCTAAAACTGAGGATATGAGGCATTTGCTACAGAAAGTCAAAGACTTTCAATATAGATTGAAGCTCAACATCAAGAAAACAAAGATTCTCACCACTAGGTTTATAGGCTGTTTCATGATAGATGAGAGATGAAGGTAGTTAACAACTTCAGATTGCTTGGTTCCACAACCAACAGGCTTGGCAATAGTAGTCAGGAAATTAAATACATACATACATACATAAACAAACAAACAAATTGCATTGGGAAAATTTGCTGTCAGTGACCTCTTTAGAGTACTGAAGAGCAATGATGTCACCTTGGAGACTAAGGTGTATCTGATTTAGGCATGGTTTTCACTATTACTTGCTATGCATCTGAGAACTGTACAGTAACTAAGGATGACAAAAGAAGGATCATTGACCTTGAGTTGTGGTGCTGGCGGATAGTGTTGAATATATCATGGACTGCCATGAGCACAAATAGGTATGTTCAGGACAGTGTGAAATGAACTTGCTCTCTGGAGGCAAGGCTTTTGCAGCTCTGTCTCACATATTTTGGGCATGTGGCCAGGAGGGACCCGTCCTTGAAGAAGGACATTGTGCTTGAAAAGATAGAGGGCACAGGAGAAGACGATCCAGGATGAGAACAATTGACTCAGTGACTGGAGAAATGGATTAGGTCTGTGGGAGATGGTGAGATTGGCTCAGGCAAGGGCTGGTTTCAAAGCTAATGTACATAGCATTACTGTGAGTTGCTGGTGATTCGATGGCACATAGCTATAACAACACTGTCGTATTTTCAAACGTGCAAATTATTTGTTTAAGCAATAATAATGAAGGGTCTAATAATTAAGGGCACCGTTATTATGTGGGCAACACAGCAGCAAAAGAAAGATACAAATTTTTTCTCTCATCCAATGAATACACATCAGTAAAACTTGGAAGTTATATACATTCTTTTAATCACTCCTTTAAGAAATAGATCTGGAAAAGTACCCCAAAAGATCATTTTTCTTGCCACACTGCCTCCCAAACGAAACTACAGGGCTAAGTAAGTCTAAAACTGCTAAGAAATCATTTGGCTAGAATTTAAATTTTCCTTTGTTACTTATCCATTCAAGAGGCAGACATTGAAATTGTTTCCCTGTTTTTATACAGGAGCAGACTGGACTAGAACTCAGTAAAAGAAAATTCTTAAAGGTATAGTAACACTATAATCTCCCATTCTCAGCAACTAACATTAATGAACAAAGAACTGATAAAGGCTGAGATAACCTACCCATAGGTGTGCCAACGCCATAACCTTTGGAATCGATAAGGCCACCGATCTGTGTCAGGTTACAGTTCCGCTGAGTGACAAATTCTATGGTTGTTGACTCCATTAGGAACGCATAATCAGAGGTGAGGACTCGCTGGATGCCTTCTTCATTACTTTTGACGAGCACTGACTGTCTCCTGCTACTCATAAAAGCCCACATTTTGTCATATGTGGAGATTTTTGATTTCTGGAGAAAAACAAAATGCATTTTTATCATAAGAAAAATATCCTTTAGGTTCCATTTTGCAATAGATGCAATTAATTGCATTTCGTTTACTTACATCATCTTAACATTTTGTTAATAATAATATATAAATACACAAAGATTAAAATGTATAAAAATGGTTTCTTAGCAAGTTTTTATTATATATTCAGGGTTAGCATAGATGTATTTAACAAAGACTTACAAAATGTATTAAAACTAAGAAATGTACAACTAGTAAGTACTAGAAATTAATGAATAAAAGAGAACAAATAACAGGATTGATGATATGGAGGGTCTAGTGTGTTTGATTTTTACATGAGGTTCCCCATTTTGTATTTACTTTTATCTTTCACCATTATTACAACATTAAATCAGGAGGAAAAACACTGGCACAGATTGACTCTAAATCAGAGACTCTCCTCTCCCTTTTCCATTTGATTGACCATAAGACAGATGCCACATTAATTCAAGAAAACACCAAGTTAGAGGTCAAAGAAATAAAAGGAATTAACTCCCAGTAAGAATGTTACAAATAAGAATGCACACATTTGCTCTAAGAGATTTGGACATTATAAAATTTATTTGTGTGTGGTGCAGGAAATCTCAACAAAAACCCATCACTCAGGTTTAACTAAAGATTCTTGGAACAATTAAATGAAATTGTTTTCATATACTGCTGAAAATTCTCAGTAGGGCTTTACTGTGATTTCTTGGCTAAAAGAAAGGGATAGGCTTGTTCAGATGATAATGGCAAAATAGAAATATCAAAAGATTCACATACACTGAAATAGCACCTGTAAAACTCTTCATTCATATTTAACTCATTTATCAATACAAAAAAATAACACTGGTGATATAAATTCCCAAATAATTTTCATCCTATTGGACAAATAAGAAGTTATCTTTCACTCTTGAGAAGTCAAAACTATTTTTAAAACTGAGATACATGCAATTTTTCCACAGTGTATGCCTGCCTTCATTTGTACACATTCAAGGTCATAAATATAGTATTACCACTACAATCACTAAATGGCAGATGTAAAATATTACTGAAAAAAATTCTGACACAATTTCAACAAAATGGGGAAAATATCATTTACTGGGGAAAAAAAATGAAAAGCACAATTCATGCTTTGTAAAAACAGGCATGGTATTAGGTCTGAGAGAAAGCAGAAATTATGAAATTTTAATCTGGAGTGAAACACTGAAACATGCTAAAACAGTAATAGTTCAATATATGCCAGAAAGTTCCTGAATAAGCTTCCTCCATGTAAAAGTTTGAACAACTAAGATGGTATGTTGATTATTCTTATTTTTAAATTAAAATAACAAACTCTTACAAATAGAAAAGAAAGCAAAGAAGTGGTGAAATTCTTACAAAGATAATTATAATCAACACTGAGAATGTGTCTGACTCCCTTGTTTACCTGACCAAGAACCTAATGAAAAAAGCTGGAGTAAGTTCATTCTGTTTTAATAATAACAAATCATTTTTCTAATATTATGGGTTAACTGAGGCCATACAAAATAAAATTAAAAGTAGAGCTCTTCTTTATCTAAAACATTTTTTAAAATAAACATATAATCGGGGAAAGATTTTTATTTAGTAATAATGTAATTATAAACATAATCCTATAGATGATTTTACCTTAAATTACTGTAATAAAAATATATTCATTATATCACATTTAAAAGAGCAATATATTGAATCACAACATGAGGTCAAAACCAAGCAGAGGGTTAAGAAAGTATATATAAATAGGTATTCTTGTCATTACAGAAGTCCAGAATGAAGGCTGCATAGTGGAGCGAACTTGGGGGGAAGGATTGCATAAAAATGAAAGAGTGTTTCTTTTTCTTTTCTAAGAGAAGAGCGATTCAGGAGAGCAGGGTGGGCAGGAATGAAAGTGCAACAGTGAATTTCTGGAAATCCTAAGTCTTTGTAAACGTTCATTAAAATGAATAAATAAATTAAAAAAAAAAAAACAACAAAACTTCCAGCCTTCCAAGAATAAACATGATACTCTTTCCCTATTAAAAAAAAATAAAAAGTCTATATCGGTCATAAAGTTACCTAAATTCTCTGCTTTGTTTTAGTTGTAAGAATGTGAATATTTAATTCAACATTGCTTACTTACTGGATTTTCACTTCACAACAAGATGTTCCATGTATTAATAAGAATTAATTATAAATAAATCTTGAAGCAAGCATCTTTTCTCATGGAGAAATGTAAGCTAATGATGTGAATAGCACTGATCAAAAATGCCATCTAAGTGTATCTCCATCTTGAAATTTTTGCTCATTAATTTTAAGTAATATTTTCTCATTTAGACCATGCAATTTAAAATTGTTACGTTGTTGTGATTTACCATTTTCAGAGGCAGTAAATTGCATGGGAGAATATTTCCCATTTTTCTCCAACAGAGCCTTTGGTGGGATTGAATCATGCACCTTTGTGTTGGCAGCACAAGTCCTCAACATTAGGGCACCAGAGTTCCCAATTTAAAATTAATTTAGTACAGTACACTATTAATTGAATAACAGTTCATCAATTTATCCATTATTATTTGCTGCTGTTGTTTTTGGTCTTGTTTTTAATTTTGTAGATAGTTGCTATCTTCTTGCAAAGGCATCTGCATTTATAACACCAATTTTAAGGAAAAGAAAGCATCATGGTAATTTTTGAGAATAAATATATATTTACCACACTGGTCGTTGGAGAAGGACATCATGCTTGGTAGGGTGGAGGGACAGAGCAGGAGGGGAAGACCCTCTATGAGGTGGATTGATTCAGTGACTGGGGTAATCTGGATGGGTGTGTCGGAGACAGTGCGATTGGCACAGGACAGAGCACAGTTTAGGGCTGCTGTATATAGGGTCACTATGATTTGCAAGCGACTTGACAGCACAAAACAAAAATAGAGAAAAAGGGAACCAAGAAATGTTTTCAGACAGGTTCTTTAATTACTATCTGAAGAAGCAATTCATATTATGAATTAAAAGCATAGAATATGATGGAGATTTAAGAATATACAATAAGAGTATACAGGAACATTTCTCCAAGCAGTGAGTTTAGAATTGAGAAGTAGTATAACTAGTAGGGTTATCAGCTAAAATTCATACAATACATAGGACATATTTCTACTTTAAAACTATTTATGTAAAATTTAAAACAACTGGGCATACCAAAATTTTATTTATAAATATAGTATCTGCAATAATCAAGCAACTATGCAGTGTTATTTAAAGATGCATAACTTCAAATATCTAATTAATATGGTAAATGTAAGAAATTTAAGATGTTGTATATCCTATAGCAAAAATATCTAGGTTTTCTGAACATTTAAAAAATTTCTTTTAAAATTATATGTTGTGATTTTCATTAGTTTTCAAGTTTCAGTTTCAGCAACCAGGTTTGTGTCATCTGCATAACACAGATTGTTGACGGATATTCAACCAATCCTGATGTCACATTTCTCCTCATAGAGCCCAGCCTTCCAGATGATCTGTTCTGCATACAGGTTGAAAAGGTATGGAGACTGGACACATCCTGGTGTACACCCTTCCCAATTTTGAAACTTGCAGTGTTTCCTTGCTCTGTTCTGATGACTGCCTCCTGGTCCAAGTGTAGAATTTGCAAGAGCACCATCAAGTGTTCTGGGATTCCCATTCTTCTCAGAGTCAGCCACAGTTTGTTATTCTCTACACAGTTAAATGCCTTTGCATAGTCAATGAAACACAGATAGACATTCCTCTGGTATTCCCTGCTTTCAGTCAAGATCCATTTAACATCAGCTACAATATTACTAGTAACATGGCCTCTTCTGAACCCAGCCTGCACTACTGGTAGTTCCCTGCTGATGTGCTGTTCTGGCCGTTTTTGGATAATCATGAGCAGGATCTTGCTTGCATGTGATATCAATGATATTGTTCGATAATTTCCATACTCTGTGTGTCATCTTTCTTTGGAATCGGAATAAATATAAATCTCTTCAAGTCAGTTGGCCAAGTGGTTGTTCTCCATATATGTTGACACAACGTGGTGGTGAGAACATCTAAGACAGCATCTGTTAGTTGAAATACATCAATTGGTATATCATCAACAAAGATTTTCAGCACTGGGCCATTTGACAGCATCAGGATGGATGGTGAAGAGATTGAGCTTGTTTACAGCTTTTGTTTGCTTGGCTCCATGGTCAATACTCTTGGCACCAGGAGCCAGGAAATTAAAAGATGTATTGTGATGGGAAAGTCTTCTGTTAGGGACCTCTCCAAAGTACTGAAGAGCAATGGTGTCACTCTGGAGATTAAGGTGCACATGGTACAGGACATGGTCTTTGCAATCACTTTCTATGCATCAGCGAGCTTGACAATGACTACAGATGATAAAAGGAGAATTTGAGCCTTTGAGCTGTGATATCAGAGAAGAGTATTAAATATACCTTGGACTGCTAGGAGAACAAACAGATTCATCATGGAGAGGGTTGTTCATTAGAGCCAAAGATTCTGAAGCTTCGTCTGTCACACATACTTTGGATATGTTGCAAGAAAGGACCAGTCCTTGGAGAGGGACACCATGTTTGGGAGAGTGGAGGAACAGCGCAGGAGAGGAAGACCTTCTATGAGGTGGATTAATTCAGTAACTGCAGTAATCGGGGTAGGTGTGTTGAATACAGTGGGGTTGGCACAGGATAGATCAGGGGTCACTATGAGTCACAGGCGACTCAATGGCATATAACAACAATAACTAGTCTTTATGGAAGCTGACTTTGCATCTTTCTACCATAGAGCAGTTGGTGAATTTAGACTGTAAATTTTTCAGTTAGCACCTTAATACACACTAGCCTAAAGAGCTACTCTTATATTTGTAAAAACAGATTTAGACCCAAAGTTACCTAAATTGCTTTGTTTCCTGTATAAATGTAAAAATCTAAGCATGAGCCTTTAGATTACTAGCATCATTCTCTGCAGATTACACCAT